TAGGTGAGGATGGGATTACCTAAACTTACAGGAAATAATGCAAAGAGGGTCTGGTGAAATTTTTTATTTATTTTTTTTATTTTTTTTAAAGATAACTGGGTTAATTAAAAGAATTTAAAAAGTGTAGTCAGACCAGGTTGCAGAGTATGAGTTTGACCCATTGATCCACACTCCAGTCCAGACGGTGGCGGTAATGCACAAAAAAGCTGGTTGCCAACCGCCATAAAAAGAGAAGAAGAAGAAGAGGCGGAAGAAGAAGAAGAAGTACAATAATACTGCATAGTAGGGGAGCTTTTAATTTCTTATCTGTGCATTCTCGTTTCCTTTCCTCACTTCCTGTTGGACGCGAAGGACGGAAGCGAGGAAAAGAAACGAGCACAGAGGAATCGAAAAAAAAATGCTTTTTTATATACATTGGAATACTTGATCACTCGAGTATCACTCAGTGTCATCAGCAGCACTAAAAGGATCTGCCCTTATCTTGTTGAAGTTTGGTTATTTTATAAATTCATAATAAATAATAATAAAGATAGGCTACAATGTTGCAATATGTGAGATGTGTGGTTTATATAAACTGCAAAGCTAAAGGATAAATTAAAATGATTGTGACCGATGTGAAGGGGGAGGAGAATTGATACGTTCGTCACGTGTCCTTCAAGAAGTTTGAGCTCGGTTACAGGTTGTGCCGAATTTCGACTCCCTGCCAGAATCCGACTCCCCCTCGCGTGCACGCGCAATGACGTCAACACACTAGTCGCCGAATTTCGACAGAATCTGACTCCCCTCGCTTGCACGTGCTTTGAGCTTGGTGCGACTGTTTTATTTTTCGTCTGTTAGCGTTACTTAGTTAAAGTTTGGTGTCTTTTTTTTTTTTTTTTTTTTTTTTACAGGTGTTTAATAATAAATAGTATAATTATCAGTGTTTTCCAGAAAGTGTTGCAAAAACCAATCACTGGCATGGCCTATGTTTAGCCTATGTTTAAGTGATTATGTTTAAGTGCACTATACTTACTAAGTCAAATATTTAACATTTATTCCCATTGTGTACAGTTTACTTTACTAGGCCTATAGACAGTCCAATAATACCATGTGCAATAAGTTCTACTTAATTCTGCACATAGATTATTCTTAAGTTAGATATACTCTGCCTGTGCATTTTATTTAAATCAAACCCTAGAATTATTTTCGTGTCCAAAGCACAGGTGTAGCCTAAGCAAAGTATATACATCATAAATTCAGCAGGTGCTGAGTTTAAAACTTACAGTGATGTTATGTGTGTCACTGCAATAAATACATACAATTTATAATTTCACTTCCCATTTGTATCATTTGTTATTTATTAATTTGCACACACACACACACACACACACACACACACACACACACACACACACACACACACACACACACACACAGAGTATACTCAATACAATTTGTCATTTCTATCTGAAATAACAAAAAGTTTCCTTTAGCTCATTTTTGTTTATTTACCCATAATCAAACAAACATTAACAATAAAGGCCAAATTTGGTGTTAATCTTTGTATATCAAAATAAAATAAAAATACATAGTATTCAGAAAAGTAAACTTTCATGCCTAAGCATTTACAAAGGAAACATATGAGCAGTAAAGTAATTGACTGCCGCGTATAGTGACTTCATGGCGTGCACTGCACACAAGGGGAGTCAGATTCAGGCACATTTTTTTTTTTTTTTTTTTTATCAGTTTTTTGCAGTTAATCATCCTGGAAACAGAAAGTAAGCACCATCAAAATACATTTAAAGTTATAGGTAAATGTTGTGGACAAGTGACAGGACAAATCTGAAGTGGAGAAGTATGTCCACTTCAGATGACTAGCCACCCAGTTATAATGGCAAATGTCAGAATTAAAAGTGCCTATCGCAATACAATATCAAATGTAAAACAGTGAAATTTAAAAATGTTAAACCATCCATTTTAAGACGTGTAACCAGCATGAGTTTCATGTGTCTTTGACTTTGTAAACCTGAAAAATTAGGGAAGTATGATTTATATAGCTACTTTGCTTACTGTGCTTTGGACACAAAAATAATTTTGGGGTTTGATTTAAATAAAAGTAGAACACATATATCTATGAATAATCTATGTGCAAAATTAAGAAGAACTTATTGCACATGGTATTATTGGACTGTCTAGTAAAGTAAACTGTGCACAATGGGAATAAATGTTAAATATTAACATTTCATATTTGACGTGGTAAGTATAGTGCACTTAATTACCATAAACATATTCTGTATGCCAGTGATTGGTTTTTGCAACACTTTCTGAAAAAAAAAATAAAACACTGAAAATTATATTTATTAATAAACACCTGGAAAAATAAAAAGACACCAAACTTTAACTAAGTAACACAACAGACGAAAAAATAAAACAGTCGCACCAAGCTTATAGCACGTGCAAGCGAGGGGAGTCAGATTCTGTCAGGGAGTCGAAATTCGTGTTGACGTCATTGCGCGTGCACGCGAGGGTGAGTCGGATTCTGGCAGGGAGTCGAAATTCGGCACAACACCTGTTCATAGGATGGAGGAGCGAGGAGACGAGGAGGGATATTGAGAAGCACGTACCCCTAGGTTTCATCTCTCAAGTAGGCCTGCTTCCACTTTAAAAAACACTGTCATTCTTGCACGCACTACTTTGTTTTTCGGTACTCGCGTGTATTAGAGTACTAAAGTGTCTCATTTCAAATGTAATCGTTCGCTGATCGTTATTTCGCATTTATTCAGTCAGAATCTGTCAACCGAGCCGTCTTGGAAACTGAATTCCCGGCTAGGTCACTAGATGGTGCTCTACTGTTACTATTTACAGTCACAAAAGCACACTGTGGGATAGGCTACTGTTCCCAATCTAAGAAAACATCTTAACACTCTGAACATCACATATTAAATAATGAGTGAGAACCCTGTATTTACAATCAAGTCACCTTTATTAGTATAGCCTGTTTTACAATATTGTTTCAAAACAGCTTTACAGGAATAACAGGAAAATAATGCAACACAGTTTGTTTCCAGAGGAAAATAGCATCGCAGTCACACTTAAGTAAGCTTAGTGATTTTTGTTGTTAAAAAAAGTTATTAATTTACTTAATTTATATATAAATGGAGAAAACATCGTCCAGC